GACTCCACTCACACTTGACTGCTGCCAGCCCAGGAGCAGCATCTCTCCTTCCTCCCACCCTACGTCTGCACAGAGGCGCACAGGCCCAGGGCCCTCTCCTGTGGCCCCATTGGAGATTACACTGCCAAGGGCCTGCCCGCGTGAGCAAGCACTTACCTACCGCCCTGCCCACAACAGGCACCCCCAGGCCAGTCTCACGCCCTTGCTCTCTCAAGCTGGGTTGAATCTTCTGAGCCCCGGGTCATGCACTTCCTGAGCCTTCTTGATGCCAGTGAGAAGGCTTTGCAACCCTTCTGATGTGTGCACAAGGTCCTGACACCGCCACCACACACGAAAGGGTGTCTGGCACTGGCCACACAATGACCACAGCAAGAGTTTAAAAGGGCTGGGTTGTGAAGATGGCAGGCGTCTCCACCTGGGTATTCAGGTAGCACCGGACTTCCCAGCACCTGCCTGTGGAGCGAGGGGACACTGAAATCGTCCTCAAACTTCCAAAGGGACAGTGTTTGCAGTGGAGAGGTCTCCAGCTACCCCAGCAGCCAGTCATGTCTGAACAGGGGTATATGAAGGCATGGGAGGCTCCTTGAGACCTGTTACCCAAGGCTGACATCGGGGGACAGCATAGCTGTGGGAACTCTCGGACCCAGCAAGCCGCACACACCAGCCTCAGTGATCAGAAATCTCAGGGCCCAGTGTGGCTCTGAGCTGCAGTGCAGGCTGACCAAACGCAGAGCCTGTGAATTCCATCGGCAGCAGCCCCTCTCCACAGTCCTCATGGCCAGACCTCCCTGCTTTGGAAATGTGGAAATTATATAAAATCTCAAAAGCCATGATTATCTGTTCAGAGGAGTGGCAGAACCCTGGAAAGCACAGCAGCGTGGGAATCTTTCTAAGCTGCTCTCGCCCTTTGCCTATGCCTGTGCAGCTCAGCGGTGGCCATGACAAACTGCAGCCTGCAATCGCCATAAGCCCAAAGCCGCCAGGAGGAGCATGAGACACGCCGTAGAGAAGGCCATCCTAGTTCAGACAGGGCACTGCTCACACTTGGGGTGGGCACCTAATTCCAAGTCAGTGGAGCTCCAGTGCAGGCGCCTCTCCCAATACCCCAGTGTAAATAACTTCTGTAGCCAAGGTCAATGCCGACCTGTATAAACAACTGATATCACCAAGGTCGTTAGTGGCACAGGGCCACTGTAGGGAATTTGGCATAAAAGGAGGCTGGGCGGCTAAGGACCGCTGCCAGAGAACAGTGGCGAGGTCTCAAAGGCGGCTAACCAGGTGGGCTGTGGCTGAGCAGCTGAATGGAAGATGTTTAACCCAGGCCACGGCTCTG